TGGTTTTTAAAATTTATTTAAGAGTCAGATTTTAAAGAGAGAAAGAGGGCGAGGACAGAGAGAGAGATCTTCCGTCCATTGGTTCACTCCCCAGATGGCTGCAATTGGATCTGAGCAGAGCCATGCTGAGATCCAGGAGCCTTCTGGACACAGGATCCCAAGGCTTTGGGCCATCATCTGCTGCTTTCTCAGGCCACAAGCAGGGAGCTGGATGGGAAGTGGGGCCGCTGGGATTAGAACTGGTGCCCATATTGGATCCTGGCATGTGCAAGGCAAGGACTTTTAGCCACTAGGCTACCACACCGGGCCGCAGAGAAGCCTCTAAACTGAAGGAGCCATCATGGTAGCAGCTATTGGTTTTAGAGCATTTATGTGTTGGGTCTTGTTTGGGCACCCTCAATGTACTAACTCCTCCAGTTTTCATATCAGGTGAGGTGGTGCCTAGCACCATGATACCTCTGTGCACATTAAAAAAAAAAAAAAGGAAGCAGTGCCATCACCCCTCCCTCCCTTCCTCTTTCTGCCTTCCACCGCCTTCCTCTGCTTGCCAGCGCCAGTGCCCATCAGCAGTGCAGCAAAGGGAAGCAAAGGGCAGGCTTCTATTGCACCACGCCCCCAAGACGACGCCAGATTTCTGTTGATGAAGCAGGACTGGGGTGGCCTTCATGAATTTGAAATCATTGGTGGTCAGAGAGCTGGGGAAATCCTGGCGAACGTCACAGGCACGTTATAAACAAGCAAGGGGTGATCGGCTTGATGGGCAACTGGAAGACGTAGAAAAAGAGGCGGAATCACCCGCACTCAGGCCATCAGCAGTGAAAGCCAGAAGTGAAAACACAGGAGAGCCAACACCCTAAGGGTTCCACCTGCCCCCAGGGATGTGAAACACACAAATAAACAGACTAAAAGGGGAAAAGAAACGGAAAACAGTAACTCGCCCAAGAATAGCAAGAGAATGAAGCCCGGGACTGCCTGGCTTTCAGTTGCTGGCCAACTGGACTTCCGAGGTGGAATCCAACCATTTCACGGAATGCCACTCCTTGGCTTTCCTGGGGGAGGCGGGCGGGGGGAACAGGATCTCCCTGGCATCTGCACTGTGCACATCTGTTCTTACCCTACCCAGAAACTAATACTCCCCTCTTCCCTCATTCCCCATGCTGCCTCGGTCTGGGCGTCTTGGTCGCACCCTGCTGGGAGCCCACACAGCTTCAGATCTCCGTGTTCTCCCCAGGGGCAGCGGGCTTCAGCGTTCTTCTTAGAAGTCGCTGGCCTGTCCCGCACCTCCCACCCCAGCAGGAGAGGGGCAGGGATCTGAGCGTCCGGCGGCCAATAAGCACCTCGGAGCTGCCCACTGAGACCGCCAGGTGAGCGGTGGGCGGCCCCAGCGGAACAGGCGGAACAGGCGGGCCTGAGCCGCGGAGCCTCCCCGGTGCTGTGCCCGCTGCCCCGAGCGAGTGAGCCAGAGCGAACGAGCGGAGCCATGAGCTGGACCTGCCCGCGCTGTCAACATCCCGTGTACTTCGGTGAGGCCAGGGCTGCCGAGCGGGTAGGAGCTGGAGTGGGCGGGTTCCCTGAATGGGATGTGGTCCCCGCCCCCTTACAGTTCCCACCTGAGGCCTTTTCTTCTGAGAGCTCTGGAAGAGCTCTGGGCGCTGCGGTGGCATAGAGGTGGCCTCCCCTGGGGGCGACTTGTCATTGCCTCCAGGGAGCAGGCAACAAGGACAAGCTGAACTGGTTCTGGATAGGGCTGATAAGGGTGTGGTGAAGGAGAAGGTCCCCCCTCCCCCGCCGGCCTGACCGGGCTTCTCACAGCTTGGTTCCACCTTGTCCCCCACAGCCGAGAAGGTGACCTCCCTGGGCAAGAACTGGCACCGCTTCTGCCTGAAATGTGAACGCTGCCACAGCATCCTGTCCCCGGGTGGGCATGCAGAGGTGAGGCTTGGCTAGGGCACACAGCCCTGGGCTGTCACTAACCCCCCTGTCTCCCCAGTTTCAACCTTGGAGGAGGCCTGCCAAAGGCAGTCCTCAGCAACTAACCCAGGGTGGGCCCCACAGCAGCCAGGATTTGGGGACCACATGGAGAGCAGGGGGATGGGCAGCCTTGCCTCCTGGCTTCATCTTGCCCTTCCTCCCTGGAGCACAGTGGTAGCTCTGTCCATCCAGCCACTAGACAGACACTTGGCAGCCTGTCATGGGGAAGGCTGTAGGGCACGGGGGGCCCCCTTGGCTCTGAGCTACCCCTTTTTCTCCTGCATGTGCCCAGCACAACGGGAGGCCATACTGCCACAAGCCATGCTACGGGGCTCTTTTCGGACCCAGGGGTGAGTACCAGCCTGGGAAGGGATCAGGGTGGGCTGGCAGGGCAAGCTTAAGGCTGACTGCCCCTCTTCTCTTTGCAGGGGTGAACATCGGTGGTGTGGGCTCCTACCTCTACAATCCCCCCACTCCCACCCCTGCCAGTGTCACACCCCTAACCCCCAGCAGCTTCAGCCCCCCTAGGCCAAGGACCAGCCTCCCGCATGGCAAGAAAAGTAAGGGAAACTGGGCCTCGGCTGCCGCCACTTCTCCTCATCATTGCTGTCCTCCTCCTCTTCTCCTGCCTCTTCCCCAGGCTGGAATAGGGGACAGGGTCAGGTGGTACTTTCCTACTCAGCCCTGTGCTTCACAGTCCAACTTCATTCTTGGAAAACTCTTCTCTCTACACCCCCCTCTGCCCCTCTCGTTCTAGCTTGCCCCCTCACTCATGTTAGCTGCTGGGTGAAAGAGGTAAGTTGGACAGACAGCATTGCAACTCCCAATTTGCAGGAGCAGAGAGGAGAGGTGTCTCTGTGCAGTCATACAGCTAGCAAGAGGGCCAAGTGGGACTAGAACTCTGCCTCTCCCAGGCAACGGCTGCGGAGGGAATGATCTATGTGGGGCACGAGGGGTCCTGGAGATGGAGCCATCCCCTCACATTCCTCCACTTCTCTCTCTGGTCACTGGGTCTGCCAGCCTGTGCAGTGGGCAGTGACACCATACTTCCCAACACCTGACACCCCTGCCCTGGCCAGCTCCTAGAGCAGCTCGGGTTGCTTGAGGATTGAGTTGCTGATGGGGTGGGGCCGGCGAGTACCTGAGCGCCTTGGGAGGAGGAGGAGCTGGAGGAAGAAGAGGCGGATGGTCCCTAACACCCAAAGCGATGGAGGAGACTTGGCTGGGGTGGGGGTGGGGAGGCTGTGGATCAAACACAGCCATAGGAACAGGTCAGTGCCATGTACCGGCTAGTGCCAGGTACACAGTCCCAGCCAGGCCTCTCCTCCTTAAAGGCCCCCCACACACGAAGACATTCACTGGGGAGACCTCACTGTGCCCCGGCTGTGGGAAGCCCGTCTATTTTGGTAAGTGACCATGGAAAGAAAGTTTGGACATTGAGGCTGGTAATGGGTGAGGGAGTGTGGAGGGGACACCAAATGAGCAGCAGAGGGCACCAGTCTCCCTTCCTGGCCGCTCAGACCCACCACTTCACTCTACCACCAGCTGAGAAGGTGATGTCTTTGGGCAGAAACTGGCACCGACCCTGCCTGAGGTGCCAGCGCTGCCGGAAGACCCTGACTGCCGGGAGGCATGCTGAGGTGAGCAGGGCAGGGCAGGGCAGGGCAGGGCTGGGCAGGGCTGGGAGGCTAGCTGTGTTAGGAGAAGGCAGGCTGGGGCTTGAGACACAGCCAGACCCAGACGGCTCGTTCTTTCTCTCTCTGTCTCCCCAGCACGATGGTGTCCCCTACTGTCACATCCCCTGCTACGGCTACCTGTTTGGCCCTAAAGGTGGGCACAGCCCTCTCCCCAGACACAAGGCATGCGTGCAGCCTGTGGGGATGGGGACTCCTCCAGATTCTCCTCAGCCCCGCGCCCCCAGACCCAAGGCCCTTGGTGACTGGACTGTGTTCCTCAGGTGTGAACATTGGCGATGTGGGCTGCTACATCTACGACCCTGTGGAAGAAAAGTCCAAATGAGCTGCTTGCCCTCACTTGGGTTTCTACCCCAGTCCCTCGGTGCTCCAACAGGAGCAACAGAACTCTCTAGTCCCATGGCCTAGGATGGGGCATTGGGAAGCAGGGTCCCAGACACCTGGGCTTAGGGAGACAAAGAAGTGCAGACTTTTCTCTACTAATCCTTGCCTTTCCCATTCCTGTCTGGATAGAGGACACAGGCCACCCCATTGTGGAGGGTTTCCCTCCTGGCCTTGCCCAGTGTCTTTCTTAGTAGCTCCTGGAACTTCAGAGTACTCACAACACTGGGTTTATTGCACTCATCCCCTCTGTCTTCTCCAATAAAGTGTTAAGTCCCAGGTCTTCAAGTCTCCTTTGGGCTAGGGTTGGGGGAGACGCTGCCTGCAGAGTGCCTGAGAGTAAGCAGGGCTGACCATGGAACCCCAGCAGTTCATTCGCCTTGCCCTGGGGCAGTCCCTAGCAGCACACAGTGCATGTCCAGCAGCCCCATTGGTCCCAGAGGTCATCACAGGGCAGGCTTTTTTGCACCCTCCCTAGAGGAAGCACCCCCCACCCATGCAGCCCCTCGTGGGAGCGTGATAGCATATGCTGCCATGAGGTCTGCAGAGAGGCCTCGTTATTCCCCTGGGAGGTGAACTCACAAAAACCCTGAGGGGGAAAGCCACATGCCCCAAGGTCACACAGCAGACTGCCAGCAAAGCCGGAAGCAAAGCTTAGGACAACATTCAGTGGGTTTTTCATCCACAGCTCTATCCCAAAGCCCCTCACCATGCCCCAGTCCAAGAGCTATGTTTATTTATAGCATATGCACACATACCTCCCTCAGCCATGCAAGGGCTGCCCCGAGTTCCCTATGGCCTACTGTCTTTTGGGATGCTGTCAAGGCTGGGTGAGCATAGGGAGAAGGCCCCGGGGCCAACTCTGGCTCTAGGTAGGGGGAATCTGAGGCCCTGAGTCCTCCTCCCCACATCCTGGGCTGCTGAGTGTCCGTGCAGGGCTGTGCTCAGTGCCACTCAGTTCTGCACCTGCTTCATGACCATCTCTTCATCCTCAAGACGGGACAGGACCCTGGGGAGGAAAGAGGCATGGGCAGTGGTGGGGGTCCACTGTTGAACCCACCATCCCAACCTGTCTCATCATCGGGCCTGGCCCAGGGCTCCCTGCATTGGCAGCTTCCAGAAGGCAAACGGGTGTCCTTCACCAATGACTCACACACGGTGTGTACAGTCCCCTGACACCTGAGGCTGCACACATACACCTCTTCCTGTGTCTGCACACACACATACACACTCAGGCCATGTACCCTGAAGCCCTCATTCCTGCACATGCACAGATATGCCCCAAGCCCATGAGGGTAGACAGGTCTTCACACGCATGCACTCCCACAGATGTGGTCCTGTGCACACACCTCTTACTCTCCACATCCTGGATGGTCTCTGGCAGCTGGGCCCGCCTGGTCTCTGGCAGCAGGAGGGCAGTACAGGCAGCCAGTAGGGCTACCCCTCCGTAAGCAAGCTTGGGCAGTGACAGCCACACGCCGTCCAGCAAGGCTGCGAGTGGGGCCAAAGAGCCCCCCAGCCGGCCCACCAGTGCCGTGAACCCCATCCCTGTCTGCCTGTTCAGGGAGAAGATGAGGGAGGCAGTTAGAGTGCATGCCTGCTTAGGGTCATGTCCCACAGGGCTCTCCTCCCTCTCTGGCTAAGGAAGCTAAGGTCCTCCCAAGCGGATTCTGGGACCCTATACTGACCCAGTCGCAGATAGCGTCCCACCAAAAGCAGGGTGCCAGAAGAGAACTGGGGAGGAGCCATGTAGACCGACGAGAGTCAGCAGCTGGTACAGGCCTTACCTTGCTGTTCACTGCACCCCACCCTCCACCAACAGCTGATAGGGTAGCTTTGCTGGGGTGGGCAGATGGGGCGTCTTGGGACTGTTTTCTTCCCAAAAGGCCCAGAGAGGTGGTCCCCCTTGCCTCAGGGTCACACAGCTTGGGAGAGAGAAAATCTCCCCGCTTCATTTGGGTAAACATTGCAATGTAAGAATGAGTGGGAAGGGAAGCATGCAGAGACAGTGTGTGTACATGCAATTGTGGGTTAAGACACGTGATTAGCAAGCCCCACCCCAAGGTGGGGACCCAAGCTGCCTTCACCTGAGCACGGTAGGGTACAACTCGGAAGTGAACAGGTAGGCGGTAGTAAAGGCAGCTTCAGAAAATCCCTTTCCCAACACCGCTAGGGCAGTGCTCCAGGAGCTTCCCTCTGGAGGAAAATCGGTTCAGGAGATGAGAAGGCCAATCGTGAGAGCCACAATTGGAGGCGGAGGTCCCCGGAGAGGCCCAGTGAAGAATCAGAGCTGGGGGTGGTGGTGTCCAGGGGGATGTGTTGGGGGGGTTGCTCACCGGAGGCCACCAGCAGTCTGATGCCCAAGGCCAGGGCCGCGCCCAGCAGCGTCCCCGCCTGCGTGAGGCGGCGTCCGGTGTGGCGCACCGACACGTAGACAAGTAGCTTGGAGGGCAGCTCCACCGCCCCGAACAGCAGCTGTGTCTGGTACAGGTTCAGCCCCAGACCCGCCACAGCCAGACTCTGGCCGTAATAGGAGAAGTTCACACCAAACCTGAAAGGCATCACAATGCCACCAGGGTCCCCCCTTCCTTCCCACCTCACTGTCCTCTGTGCCCAGAAAGAGCTGGACACAACCCCGTCCCCTCCCCGGACTCCCACCTCACACCCCCACAATCCTAGCTGTGCCTGCTGTCTGTGCTAGTGGCCGGATCACTTTGACTGTGACCTTCACAGCAGAGAACTGACAGCGGCCTGAGGCTCAGGAAGGTGGATTGACTTGTGGGAGGCCAACCAGGGAAAAGGTGACACAGCCTGAGTTGGAGCCCACGCATCTAGGGCCTACTCCTTCTTCTGGCCTCGGCCAGCCAGATGGTCCCAGGAATGGGTCCCCTGTCCTTCTCCCTTAGCACCGCTGCCCTGGAGCTGGTTCCGTCCCCCCACTGTCAGCCTCCTCCCCACTCTGTCCCCTCCTCCCTTACCACACCACCATGCAGCACAGGGAGATGTATCGGAGTCTGGGCGTACGGAACAGGTCAAGGTACGAAGGTCTTCGGACCACCTGTTCCCCAGCAGCCACCTCACTCAGTGCCTGGCCGGGGGAGGGGGGACTTTTCAACAGTGCCAATTGCCAGTCCCCCACCGTCCCCCTTCCTGCCACCCCTCTGTTCCTTTCCTCTGTTGTGCCAGGATGGCAGGTGTACATGAGAGTTGAGGAGGGTGAGCCCTGAGGGAAGGTGTGACCCACCAGGTAGGAGGACAGCCTGGCAGAGGGGGGCTTTTCCTGCCACCTGTAGTGGGGAGAGGAACTGGACCAAACTCCCCGAACCCCACCCCAGTACGCAGTTACACCAACTCACGTGTATCCAATCTCACCTCTCGACTCAGACTGTCCTCACGCACCAGCCGCCTGTTGAGCCTGGCACAGCGGAGCAAGTACATTTGGGCCTCATCCACTCGGCCCTGGGTCAGAAGCCAGCGTGCAGACTCCGGCACCCACCTGTGGAACAGGCAGGAGACATCTCGGCTGCAAAATCAGTACCTCCACCACACATCCCAGCACCCTACCATACCTCCTAGCACCCCACCATACCTCCCAGCACCCATGCCACACCTCCCTCCAGGCCACACCACATGCTTTTACTCCTGGAGACCCTCTCAGGCTGGAAGACTATCCATTCCCCAGGCCCTCCAAACTTCTCATTGTCATTTAAAGTCCAATTTGAAAAGCCACATCCTCCCACACTGCCTGACCCAGGCCTGAGGTCCCCGCAACCTGAAGGTCTTTTTCTTCCTCAGCTGAACTTCACACCTTCCAGAACTTGCCTGCCAGTGCCAGCCACCTGCTGCTGTCCACTGAGCCATCAGGAGGGCACAGAATGACGGAAGGATAGACTTGCCATCACAGCCACAAGAGCCATCCAAACTAAAGTGTGTTTGGGAAGCAATGCCCACCTGGCCAGGCCCTCCCACTCCTGCCAGAGGCTAGCTTCAGCCTGCATATTGGCCTGCTGACTGTGTCCTGGCCTACTGTCTTTCTGAATCTGCCTTCCCGTTCTGGCCGCTGCCACTGTTCTCATACCGATCCAGTCCCTGCTTCTCCACACCTTGTTCTTTGTGGAGTTTTTTTTTTTTTTCCCTTTAGTTTTTATTTATGCTGAAAGCTGGGGAGAGGGAGAGAAACCAACAGACCAGAAGAGCTATTGTTCTCAAGTCCCCTTTCCAAATGGCTGCATGGCCCGTGCTGGGACACGATGGAGTAAGGGGCTGAGAACTCCCTCCAGGCGTCCCACATGGGTGGCATGGATCTAACTGAGTGAGCTGCCACCTGCTGTTTCTCAGGAAGCTAGAATCAGGAACGGAGCCAGGACTCAAAATTGGGCACTTTGGTGTGGGTAGTGGGACTCCCAGGCAGGGTCTTGACCACTAGGTCAAATGCCCACCCCTTGTTCTTTGTTTTGTGGTGGGCCATGCCAACTTATTCTGTCCTTCCCCACCACCCACGTTCCCCATCCATCTATATCAATCTCTATTTTTCTTTTCATCTCTCACTCCATATCTCCTTTCCTTTGCTCAGTCTGTCCGTGACTTCCTGCACCTCTCACCCCGCAGCTGTCCACAGCCCCTCCCTCACCAGAGGCTGAGGATGCCTGGAGCCAAAGGCAGGGTGACGGCCAGCAAGAGCCACCGCCAGTCCCGGATGAGGTAGCCAACCAGCGCCAGCAGCATCACGCCCCCCGTCCAGAAGGTACTACTCAGGACACCTGCCACGATGCGGTGCTCCACGTCGAGCCACTCCAGCTCTGGGCCCCCGGGGGGCCAGGGCCAGAGACAGGAAGACAGGGAAGTGAGGGTTAGCTGGGCTCAGCAGCACCCTGACCGCTGCCTCCCTCCAGCCCTCTGGGCTCCCCGATTGTCTCTCGCCTGCCTCACCCAGGGGCATCACAATGATCGTGAAGCCAGCCAGGGCTGAACCAGTGAGGGTGCGAGTGATGGCGAACATGACATAGCTGACCGAGGCAGCGGACACCAGGCCCAGCACCAGGGAACTCACATAGGCCACCAGCAGTAGACGACGACGCCCAAACCTACAAAGGGTCATGTCCAATCAGCTCCCATGGGAAGCAAAACTTCCAAGAACACACAGCGAGGAGGCCAAGCCCACCCTCCAGCCCGAGGGGAGAGGATGCCCAAAGCCCCACATTTCACTCCACCTGTCAGCCAAGTATCCAAAGACCACAGCCCCTGTCAGCACACCAACAAAGAAAAAGGTGGACACAGCTCTGCTCAGATCCTTCTGCTCACACACGAGGTCCCACTGCAAAGACAGGCAGTGAGGGGCTCCCCTGGGCACCTGCCCTTCCCAAGCCACCTCCATCCCCTCCTCACCTGTCTCTGGGGCCTGCTCCACCAGCTGTGCCATTTGAGTGAGCAACCCTTATGGGGTAACCAACCTCCCAGTCTCAAGGTGTGTGACAATTTGCACCTGCAGTCTCTGCTTCTTCCTATGGGCGGCCTTGGCCATGACCACAGGAATCCTAACACTGTCCTCCCCCTCCCCGCCCCCTCCAGCCCCAGGAGACTCTATTCCTACTCCTTCCCCTCCTTCACCTACAGATCGGCTTTTAAACCCCAGGCCTGGGAATCTAACCAGGCCCACTTCCAGGAGAAGTGCCCTCTGGAGCCCCTTCCCTGATCCGCAAGAACAGCTCCCATGGAAGGGCCTGGTGCTTGATATTCATCCCCACCATCTATAGATGGGCAAACTAAGGCCCTAAGAGGCGACAGGTATCTAAGACCCACACATAGGTCACCAAAGGCAATGCAGAGCCTGCCCACACCCACACCCACATGTAAACACAGACATACACAAACATGGAGATACACAGACATGCCAACACAGAAACATAAACACACACAAATATACAAATGCACACAGATACACAAACGTGCAAGTACACACACACACACAGAGCATGCCTCCCCTCCTGAGCTCATGTACCTCAGTAGTAATAGTGGAGGAGAACTCAGAGCGGTCATATTCCCAGCCCTGCGAGCAGGGCACGGTGGAGGGTGTGCCCCCCAACTCGCCAGGGCTGGGTCCCTCTCTCCCCAGCGTAATGTTCTGGGGAGCCTGGGGATGGGCGAAGCGGAGGCAGGAGCTAAATGTGCCATCAGGCTCCCGGGGCACGTAGGTCTCGAGCCATGCATCCTGGTGGCTGAGGTTGGTAGGAGCCCCAGGTAGGGCACAGCGATGGGCAGGCACAGCAGCCAGGAAGACGGGCAGCAAGAAGTGCAGGGGTAGCAGAATGCGGGGCAAGGCCAGCAGGGCCAAATTCCGTAGCTGGAAGGGCCCAAAGCCACCCACCTGCTCCAGCAGCTCCTCGAAGCCCATGCTGCCCGCCCACCAACCCACAGTGTCTGGAGTAGGCTCCTGCTGCAGCACCTGGTACTGCTCACCCTGCTCTCCACATGGACCCCTGGACTCTGGAGGCGCCAGGCCTCTGCAGCCAGAACTCAGCCCCCTCCCTGGGGGGCAGGCCCAGGATTGGGCCCTCCTGAACCACCCCACCCAGTCCTCCCAGTGTCTGTGGGGAGGTGCTGCTATCTGGTCAGAGGTTGCTGACTCTGCAGCCCTCACATATTACTACTCAGAGTAAGTAGGGGAGCCCAGGGTCATCATGCTAAAGAGACTGGGAGTACAGGAAGCAAGTGTTTAGTCCTGGGGCCACTGGGACATGATGCACCTACTCTCCTTAGATGTCTTTTGTCCTAGGAGGCACAAGGTAAGCTCTCCCTGTCTGCAGCAGCCTGACCCGCAGCTCCAGGTCTGAGAGTTGGACTCCAACTGAGTGAAAGGTTCTGCCCACCAAGTCATAAGGCCTCCTTCTTCCCCTAGTTCATTGCCCTGGCCCAAGACACACCAATGCAGTTGGAGAACTCTTGAGGTTCCATGCTCCCTGTGTCCCCATTCCACCCAGTGGCTGGTCCCAGGTCCTGCCTGTCCTATCCTACTATTCCCTGAAGCTTCCCAGATGAGTTCTAGGAAAAGAGGAGCTGCTTCTGGCTTTTCCAGCTGTGGAATCTGGCCCTGCTGGCTTCACCCCATCTTCCTGGCTTCTGTGTTTGCCCACCACTGTGCCCGGCCTGGCATTCCCACCAACCTCAGCCACAAACATGCATTGCTAGAGGTCCATCTTTCCCAGAAACTGCTGAAGCCTTGTCTCTCACAGGAGCTACAGTGCTTGTGGCCAGTTTGATTGGCTTACTCTGTTGCTCTCAGTGGAACAGAGTGTCACTCACAGTCCCCCATCCCAAAGGCACAACAGAACGGCCGGCATTGTGGCATGGCAGCTTAAGCTGCCAGCATTCCATATGTCAAGCACTTCTGATCCAGTTCCCTGCCAATGCACCTGGGAAAACAGCAATAAACAATGGCCCAAGTGCCTGGGTCCCAGTCACAGCAGGACTCTTGGCTGCAGCAGAGGGGAGCTCCTGGAGAAGTTAAGCAAAAATGTCTGGTTGCTCCAGGAGGGATCCCCAAGACAGCGCTAGGCAAGGCTGGGGGCGTGGCATGTGCTGCTGATGACAAGCGCGGGCTGAGGGAGGGGCTGGGCGGCGTGCTGAGGCCCAGTGCAGCCGGGTCGGCAGTGGTAGACTTGGGTGTACACAGTTCCTGCTCTTGGGAAGCTCCTAGCAGGGCTAAGTTCCCCCACAGCTCTCTGCCCCTGATTCACTACTGGCAGCCCACGCCCACAGCCACACTGAAGACTGTCTCAGAACACGTCTCCCAGAGGGTCACTTTCCTGGCTAAAAAAATCCTTCCCCTTGCCCAGGGAGGCATTCACCTAGGATTTAACACAGCAGGAAGGCAGTACATCTGAGCACCCAATTTGGGTTTCCAGCTCTGGCTCCCAATTCTGGCTTCCTGCTGATGGAGATCCTGGGGCTCGGATTGAGTTTCCACTTTTTTTTTTTTTTTGAAGATTTATTTATTTTTTATTGAAAAGGCAGATTTACAGAGATAAGGAGAGACAGAGAAAGAGCTTCCATCTGCTGGTTCACTCCCCAAGTGGTCACAACGGCTAGAGCAGAGTTGATCTAAAGCCAGGAGCCTCCCCGAGGTTTCCCATATGGGTGCAGGGTCCCAAGGCTTTGGACCATCCTTTGCTGCTTCCCCAGGCCATAAGCAGGGAGCTTGATGGGAAGTGGAGCAACCAGGACACAAACTGGCATCCACATGGGATGCTGGTTCTTGCAGGCAGAGGACTAGCCAGTTGAACCATTGCACTGGTGCCTGAGTTCCCACTCCTGACTTTAGCCCAACCTTGGTCATTGTGGGCATTTGGGGGTGCTGGTGAACCAACCAAGAGGAGCTCTCTCTGTCTGGCTCTTTCATTCTCTCTCTCCCTCTCAAGTAAATTAAATTAAAATATTTTAAAAATAAAATCCCTTGCTGGCTCCCACTACCAGAGGGCAAAAATCTAGCTAGCACCTTAGCTAGGCTCCAATGACACCCTCCCCCAGAGCCATCCTTTCCCCTCCCCCATGTGCATGCCCAGCCTTCAGCCACCCCAGCTGCTGTCAGCTCAATGCAGTCCCTGGGGGAGCAGGATTGGTCTCCCTGCAGATCAGTTGGGGGCAGACAACTCCTGACCTTCCCATGCTCCCCAAATGGGACTCCTCACACTGCAGGGGCCTCTCTCAGAGGACACTGTGTCCTCACAACCCCTACAGCTCCTGAGAAGAGGACGTGGCCTTCCAGTGGCTCTACCTGGGCAGACAACCAACAGTGAGGAGACCAACCTGGGGCTTGGCTGGGGTGTCTGAGGTTTCACAATGAGTATCTTCTTCCCGCCTTCATATCACAAGTTAGTGAGAATCAAGGACAACTTGACCATAAAGTACTTCTGCCTTCATCTCACTCCCTGACCTCAGACCATACAGCAGCTCTCATTTCTGAAGTTCTCAAAAACAATAGCCATGATGATATAGTGGGACAGGCAGGTCTGAAATTTTCCATCTAACCAGAGGACAGACCAGCTTGGAATTTCCAGTTAAGTCCTATAGGAAAAAAAAATTAAAACATTTGTCCCATCCACCTTCCTCTAGACCTCAACCTTCCCTATCCTAATCAGAGGCCCACATGGGCATGCATCCCTCTGAACTATGTAAACAGTATTAAAACACAAATGAAAAAAAATTGTTTTTTAAAGATTTATTTTTATTATCATTGGAAAGGCGGATATACAGAGAGGAGAGACAGAGAGGAAGATCTTCCGTCCCATGATTCACTCCCCAAGTGAGCGCAACGGGTCAATGCTATGCCGATCCGAAGCCAGGAGCCTCTTCTGGGTCTCCCACGTGGGTGCAGGGTCCCAAAGCTTTGGGCTGTCCTCTACTGCTTTCCCAGGCCACAGGCAGGGAGCTGGAAGGGAAGCGGGGCTGCCGGGATTAGAACCGGCGTCCATATGGGATCCTGGGCGTGCAAGGCGAGGACCTTAACCACTTGCGCCACTGCGCCGGGCCCCCCAAAAATTTTTTTTTTTAAAAAAAACCTTGTCCTGATCGGATATTAGCCATCCATTCTTCCATCTCATAGCTGGGAATCCAAACCTAAACTTGGCAGGGACCTTCATGGATAGCAAGGGAGGGCATGCACTTATGCACTGAAAAAAAATAATGATGCCTTCATTGAAGTGGTTACTGAAACTAATGGAGACAGGGAAGGATACGTTCCTGGGATAAACAACTTCAACTTGGGATTGCTTGCAACAAGCACTTCCTATACTTCCAGCCTTTGCTCCTTGGCCCCTCTCCCATTTGAGTGGCCTCTACCGACCTCCTCATCTCTGCTGGGGCTTCAGTGACCATTAACCAGTGGCTGTGACCCATGCAACCACGGACAGCAGCAATGAAGAAATCAATTAGAGCGCTAATTCTAGTGCTAGGATGGCAGAACCACGAGGGGGAAAGAACACTGATTGGTGGGGGTGGAGTAACAGAGAGCAGAATAGGTGTAAGGGGCTGGAGCTAGTGGAGAGGAAGCTGGTGATGGGGTGGTGAAGGATGGTGGTGACAAAGATCATGCAGTGGATGATGCGTGGTGGTGGCAAACAGGTTCCCTGACAACAGGGACCTTGCCTCATGAAGACTTGAAGCCTGTTGGGGCGAGGGGGAGAGTAACCAAGAGTGTGGGTGTCAGTCTCCAGGATGAAGGAATATGTGAATACTACACAGCTCTGGGTGGGAAGGCAGACTCGGAGCAGGGGAGGCGTGCTGTGTGGCCAGGAAGCCTTGCCATGGTGGGTGCTATGTGGACTCTAGGGTGGCCAGGAGTGAATCTTTTACTTGGTCAGTGCATAAATGGTTTCTGCCCCAGGGCCAAGCCCTGGGCTGCTCCTAGGGGTGAGGCAGGAAAGTCCAGACTCCGAAGTCCTGCTCTCCTGCTGAGCAGGCCCTGACATACTCCTTAGCTGTGGTTTCCCCACAGACACTCACATTCTTCTTCTCCTTCTTCTTCTTTTTCAAGATGTATTTTTATTGGAAAGGTAGATTGATAGAAACAAGGAGATACAAAGATCTTCCTTCTACTGGCACCAGCCGGAGCTGAGCTGATCTCTAGCCAGGATCCAGGAGCTCCTTCTTGGTCTCTCATGTAGGTGCAGAGTTCCTTGGACCAGAAGGCCTTGGACCATCCTCTGTGGCTTTCCCAGGTCATAAGCAGAGAGCTGGATCCGTAATGGAGCAGCCAGGACACAAACTGTAGCCTATATGACATGCCAGCACCACAGGTGGAGGATTAGCCTGTGGAACTACAGCCCTAGTCCCTCACCTTCCTTCTTGAGTTAGAGCACCTTAAACAGGGTACACTTGCAGTAAACAACCAAACATGGCATGCACAGGGAATGAAGCAGGGATGGCCCTGCCCACCAACCTGACACTGGAGGCTTCTCTTACAAAAGGCTTGGGGCATGTCATTTCAGCTTTTTGTTTGTATTTTGTTTTTTTGTTTTTTTTTTTTTTTAAGATTTGCTTTATTTGAAAGGCAGAGTTACAGAAAGGAGAAACGGAGAAGAGATCTTATACTCCACTGGTTCACTTCCTGAATGGCTGCAAGGGCCAGCGCTGAGCTGATCCAAAGTCAGGAGCTAGGAGCTCCTTCTGGATTTCCCATGTGGATGCCACTTGGGCCCTCCCCTTCTATTCTCCCAGGTGCATTAGTAGGGAACTGGATCAGAAGTGGAACAGTAGGACCCAGTGGTGTGGCCTAGCGGCTAAAGTCCTCACCTTGAACGCGCCAGGATCCCATATGGGAGCCGGTTCTAATCCCAGTGGCCCCAGTTCCCATCCAGCTCCCTGCTTGTGGCCTGGGAAAGCAGTCGAGGATGGCCCAAAGCTTTGGGACCCTGCATTCACATGGGAGACCGGGAAGAGGTTCCTTGTTCCCAGCTTCGGATCAGCATAGCACCGGCCGTTGCACTCACTTGGGGAGTAAATCATCAGATGGAAGATCTTCCTCTCTGTGTCTCCTCCTCTCTGTATATCTGACTTTCCAATAAATAAATAAAACTTAAAAAAAAAAAAAAAGAAGTGGAGCAGTACTAGATCTTGGTGCTACTATCCAGGACGCCAGCATTGCATAGAACAGCTTAGCTCAACATTGACCCTAGTCAACTACTTTGTTTCTAAAGACCTGTTAGTGACATTTCATATAAATGAAGTCATGTGAAACCATTGCTGCAGCGTAGTGGGTTAAGCTGCCACCTGCAGCGTTAGCATCCCATATAAGCACCTGCTCAAGTCCCAGGTGTCCCATTTCTGATCCCACTCCCTCTAACGGCCTGAGAAAGCAGTGGGAGATGACCCACATGCATGAAGCCCCTGATGGAACACCAAGAGCCACCTCCTTCATTTTACCTCTTTGGTAAAAGTACACCTGGAGAGAGGCCCCTGGGAGTTGGGAGACGGTAGCCATCAGAGAATTGGCAGAGCGCGCTGGCTTTCCGGCTGTCAGATTCTCACCGGGTGCGAAGGGGTGGGGTTGAGTGGCTGCGCACGTCCGGTCTGTGTGCGGGCTCCGAGCCCCCACTCTCGTGTCCACCAATCGGTGGTGGCGGTCTTCTCTCCGGCCCACCCCCGGCCCCGCCCAAGGGAAGAAGAGTCCAGGCCTACTGAAAGGTCCACAGGCTTTTTAATGGTGTGATGGCTACTTCCCTTCCGAGATCCAGTCGAATCATGACGGCGGCTTCCAAGGCTCGGGGTGGGGGTGGACAGAGGCCATGCAGTGACTGGGAGGATGGGCGGTGGCGGCGGCAGCGGCGTGTTACATTCTGTGTGGCTTGTAAACATTCTGCAGTGGCTTCTCCCCGCCCGGGGCTGGCCGCCCTCCCAGCCCTGGAGCAGAGAAGGTTGAGCAAGCCAGGCCCCGCCCTGCGAAGAGGTGGGCCGAGGGAAGAGGTGTTGGTGGACATAGCTCCTTTCTGGCACCGAGGGGAAGGGAGGCAAGGCCTGGTCTTCGGGTGCATATCCTCTCTGCCCCACCGCGGTCTGAGTCAGTGATACAGGCAGTGTGATGGACAAGTGCTGGGGCGCGGAGAGGGTGACACTCTATAAGGGGAGGGGCCCAGGACCAGCAGGCCTCATGGAGGGTATTGGGGCAGCTGGAGATGTGGCGCTGAGGGGTGGGGGCATGGTGTCTGCTGCCCTGGGTCAATCCTGTCTGTCCCCTGCCACCCTCCCACTCAAATACTCTGAACCCCATGTCCTCCTCCCCTCCCTGGTGACATTCAGTGACTCAGAGGACTGAGGTCGGTTGGGAGACCCTGGGATTTGCATCATCCCAAGGACAGACTGTATTTTCACTTGTTTTTGGTGTATTTTGTTTGTGTTTTTTTTTTTTTTGCAGTCTCTGCCAGCTGCAGCACTGAGTGAGGCTGGGGGTGGAATGGGCCGTGGAATAGGGGCTGGGGCTCCCTTGGGCCCCTCTCCTTTTCCTCCCGGACTCCAAGCCTGGCTGTTGTTGGTCCTGGGGCAGCGATGAGGCTGGGGGCCCCTACATTCACGGTTCGGTTGGTGGCAAGGAACAGGCCCTGGGGGGCCTGGATAGCAGGGGTCCTGCCTGGTCCCCACCTGGCACGAGCTGATTGTCATTCGGAGAAGCTCTAGGGTAGAGCAGACGGTCCCCCTCCAGCCCTGACATCAGGTCCAGAGAGGTTTCCTGAGTGGTCTGTGTCAGCGTGGGCTGGACCTTGACAGCTGTCCACCCCGATGCCTCCCCCACCACCAGAGCAGCTGGTCTGCAGAGAAGCTGTGCCAGCAGCCGCCTAGGTCGGCAGACTCTCCGGGATTTGGGGGTGGTGGTGATGGGAGGGGATCAGCGGGCACCATCAGCCTGCTCCTGGGCTTTTGCCCTTGTGGGCATCCTTACAGGTGACTGGCACACTGGGGAGGGGCTGTCGTCATCTTCCTTGAAGTGTCTTGGTTGCTCCCTGTGGCTCGAGGCAGGACAGCATAGGATCAGGCTAAGGGACAAAGGCTGAGGGAATTAAGGATGGAGGAAGTCCTGCCCGCTGTAGCCCTGGCTGGCCATCCCTTTTGCAACCAGGGCACTGCCTGCCCCAGCCACTAGCAGTTGGGGACTCATGATGTGGTGGGGATGAACTCTAGAGGGCAGAGGACCCCATGTTCATTCAGGGAGGCAGGGTATGGGGTTAGGGCGAGGGACTCTAGGGAGTTGGGCTGGGCACTCATCATAGCACACACCCTCAGGACATCAGATTGGCACTTCTGCTTTGGGGGCCACCTGTGGATTTGCTCCTGCTTTCTCTGTCCACTGATCCAGCCCACACTCCCACAGAGGAGAGGATGGAGGGGAGGACCCAGGTAGAACTGAGCTTCTGCAAAAAAATACTAGCACACAGATCACGACAACCAGCCCCTCCTCTACCAGCACTGATTGGTAGGTGGAACAGGTAAAATTGGCTGAACCACAGCAGGCAGGATTGAGGTCACACGACAGGAAGGACTTCCTGATGGAGATGCGCCCTGAGCACTAGATCAGGTTGGACCAGGAGTGAGAGCTTTTCCAAAGACTGCCCCTTCCCCCACAACTTCCCATTGGTAGACACTTGCCCAGAGAGGCCTCCCCCCGCCCCCCCCCACACACCGCCATTGTTTTCTGAGGCCCCACTCAAACTTGGGGACAGTTGGATCTCTGCTCCTCAAAGATGCAAGGAAGCATACCTGCCTTCCTCCCTCCCCCCACTCCCACTTCCTCCCTTCCTGCCCTCTTCCTCCCCCAACATGCCCAGGATGGAGCTGGGACAGGTCAGAGCTGCCCTGTCACACCTGAGTAGACCCGAGTCCCTGACCTGTCCTCCCCTCCCCTCCCTGCCCCTCCTGTCACCCCACTCAGGGGCCGCAGGAGTGCGGCGGGGAGATGCTGAGACTGGGGCTTCCACTTGGGCCTTTTAAAGCCGCTTCTCCGCAGACTAGGGGCTTTGGCTGGAAGAGGAGACGGAATGGCAGGGAGCCGCGGGAGATGTAAGCAAAGGTCCCGGGCAGATGGGGGTGGGCGTGGAGAGCAGCGAGGCCTGAGGCGTGAACAGGGCATCCCCAGACGTGGGTTCCTCGGTGACGCAGACAGACCCGAGCCTTGCCCCGGAGTACGGGGCGGCCAGGAGAGGAAGGATGCGGGCTTGGGGAGGGAGGCGATTCCTCCCCGGTCCCGCGCGGCTGCGCGCGTGCGCGCGCGTCCACGCGATGCGGGCGGTAAGCCGGGGGCGCGCGGCGGGCGCGCGTAAGGCTGTGCGGGGAGCGCTTCCAGTGTGGCCAGCTGCGGGTTGGGGCCAGGGCGAGGGGGCCGCGGAGGGTCGCGGGCATCATTATCTGGCCCCGGCCCGGCCCTCCGCCGCCCCCGCCCGGCCTTTGGTTGCTGCGCGCTGCTGAGTCTGCAGTTTCCCTCTGGGTCCCTTTTTGGGGCCTCCTGGGGAGGGGGTACTGCCATCAGGCTGGGCTCCTCCTCGGGCATGCGGGACGCCCCGAGGAGCCGGGGTGACTCCTGGCCGGGCCTGGTGCGAAGGGGAAGGGCTCTCTTTGCGAGACAAGGACTGGCTCCGAGGGGACGCGCTGGAGTGGCGTCGGGCAGAGGCGGGAAGGCCCGGGCTGCGGGGAGCTGAGGGCTTGGCACCGGCTTGGGCTCTTCCGGTGCCCGGGCTGCGGCGGCCGGTCCCGGGATGCTGTTTGGGGCGGAGATCAGGAGCGGTGGCTGACCCTGGGGGCTTCTGCAGCTGGAGCCTGCTCGAGAGCAACGAGAGGCAGGAGGAGAGACCAGGACACAAAAAACAACAAAAAGACAGACTCAGAATCCTCCAGGGCCCTGTGCTTGGGACCCCCATCCTCATGAGCAGCCAGCACCGGGTCGACCAAGGCACAGATGGGTAAACTGAAGCCTGGTGCTCCAGCCTCTAATGCAGGACCTCTATGGACTGCTGGTGGAGGAGTCTACTACAGGCTTTGTTTGGGACCCTCCTTTAATTCTCACGGATTTTGTATTGTAATCTATAATGCATCCATGCTTGTATTAACATGAAATAATTTTTTCTCCTAGCCCTCCAGAGTGCTGGATGTTATGCTTTGGTGTCAAACACCTTCATGGCACCCCAAAGCTGCATGTGTCAGGGATCCCCCGACCTTCCTCAAGATAGACTTGAACCCTACATCAGGGCCAGAAGTTGGCAGACAGGAGGCAGAGTTTAAGTTCCCTCCTAGAATTTGGAAAGTTCTTGGCCTGGAGGAGGCCACTTGCTGCCCAACCCTGGGACCAGCGTGGCTTCTCTTACCTGCTGGTGATGGCTGTGTCGGACGCCGGGGCCGGCGTGCCAGGGGCTCGGCTGAGAGTCTGCCGGGTTGCTGCAGTGGCAGGCATGCGGATGTTGATGGGGCGGGGAATCCGGCTTCGGCCGGCAGATGCCTGCCCAGCCTTCCTGGGCAAGGCCGCCGCCAGCTCTGAGGCAGGTGTGTCCTCCTCAGAGCCCGTGCCGGAGAGCGTTTCGGAGGCGCGACGCTGCTCCTCGCTGGAGGAGGAAGAGGCCAGCCGCAGCAGTAGGTGGCTCTTCCTCTTCTCCATCACCAGCCGCGCCAGGTCCTGCTGCGGCCGGGCCCTTTTGCTCCATCGCTCTCTGGCCGACAGTGAGCCCGACGGCTCCGAGCCTGTGTCCTCCTCAGAGAGCAGGACAGGGATGCGGCTCCTGGGGCGAGGGCCTGGCATGGCCTGTGGGCCCAGGGGAGGAGATGTGCTGGCCACTTTCTGCAAGCCTAACTCTGGCGTGGACACAGCGGCTGATCCTTCAGCCAGGGCTGGGCCATTGGGCAGGGAGTCTGTGGCCACTTCTGAGGGGGTCACCCCAGGGGACCCAGACAGGACACAGCTCTCCATCTCAGCCCCACGCAGGACAAGGCCATTCTCCAGGGGCTCTGTGGCCCCCTCTTGCATTGCACCCCCATCTGAGGGTGCCTCTATCCCCGACTCTCCACCAACGCTGAGCTCCTCAGGCCGCGAGCTCTGGCTGCCAGAAGACATAACGTTGAGGTGGGTCTTCTCCGCAATGTGTACGAAAGTCCTTTCGACTTTGGTGAAGGGTGAGGAGGTGACAGCCACGCCCCCCGCCCCTGCGGTCACTGCCCCCACCCCGGGTCCTGTCCCAGACCCCAAGGGCTTAGACTCAGATTTGAGGACAGAGGACAGGGTGCCCGGCTCAGACACGTCCAGCTGGCTGCCTGTGGGCTGCGGCCGCTCATGCTGAGGCGTGAGGGCAGCCAGGGTGCCCAGGTCAGGATCCGGGGCCAGCTCGGCAGTGACAGGCGACTTCTTCATGTCACCAGGGGAGACGAGCACCAGCGTTTTGGAGCCCTCCTCTGGCTCCAGGTCCCCCTCAGCCATGGAGGCCCGGCCCCGGGATTCCCTCTGATCTTCCGCCAGCAGCGTGGATGGGGCACCCTCCTGGCTCCGGTCTGTGCTCCTCTCACTCCCCTCACTGCTGGAGCCACTGCGGGGCCCAAGCACCTCCCCCAGGGCCACTGCTTCCTCTTCTTCCTCCTCTTCTTCTTCCTCCTCTTCTTCTTCTTCCTCTTCTTCTTCCTCCTCTTCCTCCTCTTCTTCTTCCTCCTCTTCCTCTTCCTCCTCCTCTTCCTCCTTCCCATTGGCCTGAGGCTGAACAGGAACCAGTGGAGTCTGGGGCGAGGTGAGCAGCGTGTGCGAGAAGCCGACCCTGCGCACCCGGTGGAGCAGTCGGGCCCGCTCTCGGTAGTCAGAGAGGTCCCTCTTGAAGTCCTGGTAGGGCAGGCTCAGAGGCACAGCCCGGGGGAGGCCGTTCACCTCAAACGGGGGCGCCACGGAGAGCACCTGCAGGAGGAGCACACACAGGGACCACTGAGGCCACCCTCAGCACATGGCATGTTCACCCGAGGGTTCAGACTCCAGAACAGCACTCGGGAGTGGGGAGTTGGCCCTGAAGCCTCGGAACCTGATTCCTGTGGGTTTTCCCCCTCCCTGCTCCCCCCATTTAACTCACCCCTCACCATGTGCCCCTTCTCCCCCTCCCCCTTCCCCACCCCAGGCCCACAGTCAAGTCTAAGTGTAGGACTTGGACCCTAGAGGGCCCCAGGAGCTACCACTGAGGTCGCCTCTGCTCTCTGTAGATGAGGGGCAGCAAACATCCCTGAGTGCCATCACAGCCATCTTACTGGGGGACTTGGGTCCCACAAGGACACAGTTGGGGCTGTCCCACAAGCCCTGAAGGTACAGGATGGGCCCCTGCCGTTCCAACACGCTCCCTTCCTGCCCAACCCCCGCTTGTGACTATTAAGTTTTCCTCCTGATGTTTCACACACGGGCCCTTGACATCGTGATGGCCATGCCTATTCTAGCTTTTCCAGCCACTGTTCGGCCCCCCAACTGCCTTAGCCTCCTTTAGCTGGCTTAACCAAGTCAGGCCTCTCATGCCAAGGTCCCTGAACATTCTTGGTTCTCTCTTCACCATGCTCCGTGGTGAATCCACAACCCAGGATGCACAGGTCCACAAGGGCCATGGCCACAGTCTTGTTCCTCCTGACTGTGCCACAGCCGCCAGCCTGCTTTCTCCATCCTGCCCTGGGTGATGGTCAGATCTGAAGCCCCCATGCTCTGTCACCTGCGCTCACTCTCACTCTTGGTCTCATGCTGCAGATCTACCATGGTTGCTCCAGGCACAGGAGACAGTTCTGACCCCTGGCTTGGCCACAAATGCCCCTCACCCCGATTCCTAGCTCTGGCTTCATCCCTAGCCTCTTTCCTACAGCCACCTTTGACCCCTGCCCTGTTCTCCAGCCAGTGCTGAAGGGTGGTAGGGGGAGGCAGCAGCAGGTCCTACATCAGTGACATATCTCACCTTTGGCCCAGGCTGCCCCCGGGGTCTCTCCCAGCTCTCCTACCCATGTTAAAAAAAAAAAAAATTGCTTCTGGACCCAGCACTGTGGCCTAGCTGCTAAAGTCCTAGCTTTGAATGCATTGGGATCTCATATGGGCGCTGGTTCTGATCCCGGCAGCTCCACTTCTCATCCAGCTCCCTGCTTGTGGCCTGGGAAAGCAGTAGAGGATGGCCCGAGGCCTTGGGGCCCTGCACCCATGTGGGATACCCAGTGGAGGATCTGGGTTCCTGGCTTCAGATCGGCGCAGCACGGGCCGCTGCGGTCACATGGGCAGTGAATCATCAGATGGAGGATATTTCTCTCTGTGTCTCTCCTACTCCCTGTATATCTGACTTTGTAATAAAAATAATTAAATCTTTTAAAAAATCGCTTCCAAGTCCACCTACGGCAACTCCATGTCTTCGAAGACCCTTCCTGTCCATCCACTGAGCAGCTGTTTCCCTGCACTCTCCCCTAAAAGACCTCCCAGATCTGTCCAATGAGGATGCGCATGGGTCTACCCTGTCCTCTCTCCGATAAACAGAAACCCTCGAAGGCTTTTTCATTCACTCATATTGTTTTGTTTCATTCATTCACTCAAGCTGGAAGCATTCCTTGAGTGCTGTTATCCCAGCCACTATGTGCTCGGCATGGAAGCTGGATAGGGTCAAACTAGACAGACAGTGGTCCCTGCATCTGTGGAGTGTACAATCTCCCTTTCAGGACAGTGGTCCTGCACACTCTGCCATGGCCACGGTCATGTTCACATCTCTTTCCGTCCTGCTCCCTCATCCTGATCCTTAGTGATCCTTAGTGATCCTTAGTGATCACTACCCTCTTCTCTAACCACAGAACAGCCCGATGCACCGTCTTGGGCTTGGCAAGGAAAGGCAGGCACGTCTCAAAAAGTCCTGGTGGCGACCTGATGGAGGCCCTCAGCAAATCCCAGCCCACCCTGTTTGAACCAGGCAGGGAAGTTTCTTCAAATTCTGCCCACCCTGCACACAGACAGGAAGTCTCCTAGCAACCACTTCCTTTCTCTGTGCCATCCATTCATTTGTTCTTACTCATCCTCTCCCTCTGCACTGGGCATGCCTCTGGGTTGGGTCTTGCATGTGCAGTGGGGCAGTAACTGAGGTCAGAGGCTGGAGAAAGTGGCTGGGCAGAGGCAGGAGCTGTGAGCCCCTGGGTGTGAATGGTGACCAGGGGCCAGGGGTTGGTGCTGACAGCTGGGGGACAGGCGGGCAGACATGGGCTTCTGACCATAACTTGCCAGTACAGCTTAGACCTTGAGTCACCCAGCACCAGCCACACTTGTCCCAGGGCAGGAACGCCTTCTACCACAGCAGGTCACCTCCCTGCCCAAGAGAGTCTCTGCCCATTTTCCTGTCTGTCTCCTGCCACCTGCAGCATTGCTGCTAGAACCAGCATTTCTGTTGCCATCTGGCCAGGCCCAAGAGCTATTGTACATGATGCCCACAGTGGTGATGGCAGTTGGGACACTCCCCGCCACCATCTCAAAGTCCTCCACTCCTGGTACTCAGAGTGAGAAGGGATGAGAGCTCAAAGTCAGTTCTTGGGGCTGGTGTAATGTCTCAACTGGCTAATCCTCTGCTTGCAAACACCGCCATTCCATATGGGTACCAGTTCATGTACTGGCTGATCCACTTCCATCCAGCTCCTTGTTAATGGCCTGGAAAAACAGAAGAGGACCAAAAGCCTTGGGACCCTGCATCCATGTGGAAGACCCAGAAGAGGCTCCTGGATCCTGGCTTTGGATTGGCTCAACTCTGGTCACTGTAGCCATTTCAGGAGTAAACCAAAAGATGGGAGATATTTCTCTCTGTCTCTTCTTCTGTCATAAATCTGTCTTTCCAATAAAAATAAATCATTCTTTAAAAAAGAGAAGTCAGCTTTTAGCTGTAAAATAGACTGGGAAGCTAAGACCTGGAGAGAGACCTTGCCTTGGCCATGGACCTGGGCTTGCCAGTGACCAGCACCTCCCCAGCCTCCCATGGTGGGAAAGCCAGGACCCTTTGGCTTTGGGACGGAGGGCTCGCTCGAAGTCCCAGAGCAAGGGATAGTGCTGCCTTCAGGGTGGATAAACCCTTATACCAGGTCCCTCTGTCCCTCTCCCTTCTGCCTCTGAGTTGAAGGAGGTGGTCCCGTTCCTCTCTCTTCAGCCTCACCCTCACCCTGCGAACTCTGGGGTGGCCCAGGAGTGCCTCATTCACTCACCTAGACAGCTATCAGTAGCCCTGTCTACATGCTTAGCGTGTACCTTGCCCAGGGTAGCGACTTTCACCCCATCTGGTGAGTGGGCTCCCACATGCCAACTCCCAGAGACCTGGCCGCTCTAAAGCTCCAACCTCATAAAAGCAGACAGGAGCACAGCCATGTGCTCCCTGCTGGCTTACACAGGGTTGGCAAAAGGCAGATGCGATGAGGCCTGGAGCCTGGGCAGTGGCTCTTCTGGCCAAGACCCCCAGAGAGAATGAAAGCCCAGCACTGCCCCACCCTCCACTGAGCCCAGTTTAGAGTCCTTTCTCATTTCAGCCAGCCAGCAACAAAAGGGAACAGGAGCCAGATGCTGTGGCTGAATAGGCTAATCCTCCACCTGCAAGCCTGGGTATCCCACAGGGGTGCTGGTTTGTGTCCTGGCTATTTCACTTCTGATCTAGCTTCCTGCTCTTAGCCAGGAAGAGTAGCAGAATAGCTCAAGTCCTTGGGCCCCTGCATGCACATGGGAGACCAGGAAGAAGCTCCTGGCTCATTGCTTCTGACTGGCTCAACGCCAGTCATTGTGGCCACTTGGGGAGGGAACCAAGAGGTGCAAGATCTTTCTCTGTCTCTCCTTCTCTCTGTTAACCTGCCTTTCCAATGAAAATAAATAAATCTTTAAAAATAAATAAATTAAAAAGCAAATGGAAGGAACAGAGCAGCCCTCCATTGTCCCTAGCCACCCACAACAGCTGGGCTCTCCTTAGGCTTGAGAAGACCTTGCGCACCAGACACAGAACTGGGCTATTCCATGTCCCTGCCTGGGGTGCCCACACAGGGTGCCCAGATCAGTTCTTGTCTGGACCCAGACACAGAGCACTGCCCAGCCACCCCCCAGTCCCCAGCTGCCCGAAGGCAGGCTGGCAGCAAGCGGCTGAGAGATGCGAGGTGGAGGTGGGACCGGGCATCACCCTTTGCCCACTGTAGGAAGACAGCTTTGTGCCTTCCTTTTCCTCCTGCCTCAGGAAACTGCCTGGTGCACACCTCCCATCGTGCCCCACCACTCCCATACCAGATTTCGGAGTTCAGGGCAGGGTGCTGTAGCCTTCAGCCCCCAGTGTCTTCCCAAAGCTTTTAGCTGTCTGGGTCTGTGTGGTCTCCAAGCTCAGCATGTCCCTGCGCATCACCCTGTTCCCACAAGTGCAGGGAGCCAGCTACCCGCCGTCCACACAGACTTCATACACCTGATCCCCTCACCCCTCAGGGACTTGAGTGTTCCAGATTAGTTTAGTCTGCCTTCAACCTACCTGGCACCTGCAGGCCCTGCATTCACCCCAGCTCCCCTCCTCCTTCTCCCCTACCACCCCCAGAAGCAGAAGAGAGAGCCTTAAGCCTCTGGCATCCTAGCTATAACCCGCTCCCACACCCTGACTCTGTACCCTCTTACTTGGTAAGCTCCCCACTCTGCCACAGGTGATTTGGAGTTAGGCCCCATAGACCCAAGTGCACACACATATATGGGATCTCCCCCAGAAAAGGAGAGCGCCGGAAAATTCAATCAGGCCCAACCCTACTGATGCCGTTCCCTTGGAACTCCCCTGTCCCCCATTCCCCAAGCCCTGGTGTCAATGTCAGGCTGTCCCCCACCCCTCAGCGGCTGAGCGGTGGCAGGGGAGGGAGGGGAAAAGAAAGCAGGCAGAGGCGCGGGTTCCTGGAAGGCGTCTTTTAATCAGGATT